CAGCCCAGCAGGGGGTCCAGTTGGGGGCAAACAGGCCAGCAGAGGGGGCAGTTGGGGACAAGCAGGCCAGCAGTGGGGGGCAGTTGGGTGTGATCAGGCCAGCGAGAGGGGCAGTTTGGGGCAAGCATGCCAGCAGTGGGGGCAGTTGGGGGTGATCAGGCTGGTAGGGGGGGCAGTAAGCGGCAAGCAGGCCGGCAGGGGTGCAGTTGGGGGTGATCAGGATGGTGGGGGGGACAGTTGGGGGCAATCAGGCCAGCAAGGGGAGGCAGTTGGGGGTGAGAAGGCTGGTGGAGGGGCAGTTGGGGGCAAGCAGGCTAGTAGGCAGAGTGGTTAGGGGCGATCAGGCAGGCAGGTGAGCGGTTAGGAGCCAGTGGTCCCGGATTGTGAGAAGGGATGTCTGACTGTCGGTCTAGGCCCTGTGGGATCGGGCCTAAACCAGCAGTCGGACATCCCCTAAGGGGTCCCAGATTGGAGAGGGTGCAGGCCAGGCTGAGGGACACCCCCCCCCTTGGACAAATTTCATGCACCGGGCCTCTAGTAGCCTATATAATAAAAGGCTAATATGCAAATAGACTGAACGGCAGAACAACCGATAGCTATGACATGCACTGACCACCAGGGGGCATTCACGGATCATGGCTGGCATTGGCCACAGCAGGATGGTGCAGCAGGTGAGTGGGGGTGCCAGACCAAGGCGGGGCACTGGTCACTGTCATCGGGGTGAGTCTCTGGTGGTTACTGAAAATTCTTTGCTCCCGTGTGCCATGGTCCCGCCCGGCACTCACGCCTGCTGCCAGCGCCAGCCCCACTCACACCTGCAGCCGGCGCCGCTCCCAATCACTTGGCGCTGTCAGCAGGTGCAAGCGGCAGCTGCTGGCCCCAATTGCCCCTGAGGGCTTCTCTACCTCCCCCGGCTCCTGAGAGGCGATCAGGGCAGCAGCCGCCACTCGCACCCACTGACGGTGCTGGTCCTGCTCACACCTGCTGCTGAAACCAGCCCCAATAGCTCCGTACCATCAGCGGATGTGAGTGGAGCCAGCACCATTAGCACGTAGGAACGGCACCAGCAGGAGTGGGGCTGCTGGCAGATAGGGGACTGGGGGCCGTGGCGGGAGGGGCTGGGCGGGGGTGCACAGGAGGGGCCGAGACCCACCCCTGTGCCCACCACAGCTTATCGGCCCACAGTTCCTTTCAAGGTGCACGAATTCATGCAGTGGGCCCCTAGTAACATAAATAACCATGGTAATGAGGATGATCAGAAAGAAAATTAAAATCCCCAGAAAGCAAGCTGGAATACATGGAAATATGTGATATAAATGACAGAGATTTCAAGATTACAGTTCTGAAAATAGTCAGTGAGATGCAAGAAAATAAAGAAAGGCAATTCAATGCACTCAGAAAACAAATCAATGAACAAAAGGAGTACTTTACCAAAGAAATTAAAACTTTAAAAAAGATCCAATCAGAAATCCTGGAAATGAAGCATGCCATGAAGGAGATTAAGAGTGAACTACTGAGCATAGAAAACAGCCAACCAGCTGGAGGAAAGAATTAGTAATATCAAAGATAGGAATCAAGAAATGACACAGAGGGGGGAAAAAGAAATGACACAGAGGGAAGAATAGAGAGATCTGAGAATAAAGAAAAATGAAAGAGCTTTACGAGAATTAGCTGACTCTATCAGAAAAAGCAATATTAGAATTATAAGCATTGTGGAGGAGGAAGAAAGGAGAAGGGAATGGAGAGAACTAGATCCTCAAAATCCAAGAAGCAAACAAAACACTTTGTTTACCTCAATCCACATTCACAGAGGATAGAGAAATGTTATAAGATAAGGGGGGGAGAAAGGCATATTTCACAGAGGGTAGAGGAATGTTGCACAATACCGGGAGAGGAAGAGGGGGGGACCAGCTGGGCTTTGAAC